TAGAAAATTTAAACAAGATTTAGAAAATCAGATTATATCAGAAATTGTTCGTATTTATAAACAAAAAACAAGTGATGCAATTGGTTTGAATATATCAACAAGTACACATATTGAAACAGAAAAAATTGCTCGTAGTGCATATGATGAAAGTATTGGATCACAACCACCAAATGGCGATAATATATTAAAATATGTTTATGATATTAATCGTTATTATCTTGAAATAGCATTAGAAAAAGTTCAATTAAGTAAAGATAATATAGTTAATGATCAAATAAGTAAATTAAAAATAATTATGAACGATTGTATTAAACAAGCTATAAATGTTGTTAAAGAAAATCAATGTAGAAATGTTAAAGAAGTCTATATAGAAGTAGCCAAACAGTTAGATGTAGTTTTACCCGGATTTACAGCATCGGAAATGATTGGCATAGCAGCTGAAATCGGTAATCCAGATCAGTTTATACAAGCTTTTCGACAAACTGAATCCAGGCAATATGAAATGGAAAAACAAATTGATAGACTTCGATCTGAGTTTGATGCTGTAGCTACTGAATCATGTGAAACAACAATTCGTACACGCCTTGGTTGTCAGATCTGTTGTCCAAATTGTGGAGCAAAATGTGATAATCCAGAGTTAATTCATGAAAATCATAGAAGTACTGAACATATTGCAATGGCATTTAAAGGAGTGAAGCACCACAATATTCACACACCAACATTAGAATTATGTTATCAGCAATTGCAAACTGGTGCCTTCATAGTTGGAAACGAAAAATTTACTCCAAGAAGAAAATATTATGAGGATAGAGCATCCGGATGGCTTGCTGATTTAGACTTGAAATTTCAAAATGGAGCACTTCGTAGTGAATCATATCCACCACCTGAACAACGTCGAGCATGGATGGCTGTACGGAATGTATTGGTAGCTCATTATAAGATGACAGATCATACTTCATACGATAATGATATGTATCCATCATCCATACTTAGTTTACCATCAGGATATACTCCAAAATGGAAATAGAAATGAGATTTGTTTTTGTTCGATTATCTGTTATATACTTAACATATTTAGTTGTTTATTTAGCTGTTTTGTTCTTATAACATATTTTAGACTCGAACTTAAAATTAGCTGAGTCAAATGATGCATAAAATTTGATTTGGAAATGTTATGCGAAGAAAATTTCATCGTTTAATTAACAAAGTTGTGTGATAACAGTACTTTGTCTGTTTTGCAAAAACATAGTCACTGACTCACCCTCACTCTCACAATACAATGTCCTAGGATCCTATAATTTAATCAGTATATTCTTAATATATATTCGCTTTATGTGCAAAGTTTTGTTGAAAGATATGCATCCATAATAAGTAATTAAATTTCAAATTGGACTTATATATGGCGCATATAGACAACGAAATAATCGTTACCTGTTTCGATGCATTGAACTTTGTCAATAAGATAAATATGATAAGATAACGTTCATGCTGAACGTTTTACATTCGCATGACAATTTGTACAGAAATATTTACTCTACAAAATAAAATGTCTTTCAACTCTGTCAAATTATTTATTACATACGTGCAGGTTTTATTTGGTGCCAGTCAGATTCAACAGAACTGAGTGTGTCTGTGCGAGTGAAAATGTGTGAGAAATTTTAGAGACGGGTGATTGTTGTTGAGTTTTGCTGTACAAATGGCTTAACTGAACAGTAGAAGGAAAAATATTCGTACTTATTCACAAAATATTCGAAACTATTCTAGTTAATCTGTATTAATCAAAGAAAAACCAGAAATACGGTAACGCTGTGATACTTTTGACCGTTTTTTGTCACAGCGCTACCGCTAATAGCTGGACAAGCCGCGAAGCATTTCTTTTACAGCTCAAATATATAACTTTCTGTTCTTTTAATAGAGTCATATCGATAAGAAATAGTTCTTTCTTTTCACTTACCAAACGAACGATGAAAAATCGAAACAAGAGAAAGAATCCTTTTTTGTTACTTTACTTTGAAAGGTAACGGATTGGCATTACTATCACTGACAAAATAACGAACGTCCGTTACTATTACTGGTAACTACTAAGAGTTTTCGGGGGATACTTACTGGTATCCGGTAATAGAAATCTGTTACTTTTCAAAGTAAAGTAACGGGAACGTACCACCGCTATTAAATACATCGTTTATTTGTTTCTGTCCGTCAATGCGTGTGTGTTCAAGCTTTTCTACTCATTTAATAATAAATTTCATGTTTTTTTCAATAAATTAAACGCACATACAAATTCTAGAATATCAACTACATACCTGTTGTCATTGTTCGCTGGTTTTAACCTAAGGATTTCGCTAACCTCGTTAAAAAAGAATTTAGACGACGCCAAGTACGACGCAGCATGAAGTGTGCAGAAAAAACTGATGACTGAAAACTGATGGCAGCTATTAAAGCACCATTATCTGTACACTAATTCTTCTAAAACATCGTCAACTAAGTCAGTACGACGTCGTTTAGTGTGTATATGGAAGCGAAATAACTTAATAAATACGTTAAAATATAACAAACACTGCAAATACACTCTCGATAATTTTATAATAATTCTTTCAATTATTATCAGTGACAGAATCAAGATGCTTTTATTTTTTGGAAACGCTGATTATGTCAAGGCAAACAGTGCTGCGCCAACAGCGCATAGCGAAAATGTGGATTTACCGTCTTAGCTTCTGGTAATGCTGTCAAATGATTTTCTTTGTCTAAAGACTCTGGAACATAAGTGTGGCTGCTTCTTTTATACGGTCAAATTTCAGTAACACAAAGGTGCTGTTAAATCTGAAAGTAAACAAACAACCCAGGTGGACATTTTGTTAGACCGAACGCACTGCTAAACGCGTTCTTTTGCACTAAAAACGCGTTTTCTTACATCTGAAACGCGTTAATTGGTGATAAATGCGTTTAAATAAATTAGAAACAAACGCGTTTAAGTGCGTTTACTAACCAAGTGTTTCGCATCGTAATTCGACACCTTTAACGAGGTCATGACAAATCTCAATATGTACCATATTCAGTTTGTGATTATCTGATTGACTGATAACTGATTCTCTGATAATCTGTCGCATACACAAATCTGTTTGAACTACCACTACTATATGTTACACAGCCATATATGAACATTTTCTATCTACAACGATGTGTTTCTCATCGCATGTCTTCCTGTGGCATGCCTTTCCCCAACAGCAGAGTAGCAGACAATCAGATACTCCTATATGTTGCATAATCACAGTTTGAATATTTTCTGTCTATAGCAATGTCTTTCTCATGGTCCCTGCATAATATGTGTTTCTCGTACAACACAGAAGCAGTTACTGCTATTATATGTTGCATAGCGATAGTTTCAATATTTTCTGCCTATAGCAATGTGTTTCTCATGGTCTTCCTGTTATGTCTGTCTCATACCGCAGAGAAGCAGACAATCAGTTACTCCTACATCTTGTATAGCGATAGTTTCAATATTTCTATCTATAGCAATGTCTTTCGCATGTTCGATATGTCTTCGTCTGACAGCAGAGAAGTAGATAATCAGATACTCCTGTATGTTACATAGTCATGTTCGAATATTTTCTAACTATAGCAATGTCTTTCTCAGCAAGGTCTTCCTGTTGTGTGTCTTTGTCATAGAGCAGAGAAGCAGACAATCAGACACTCCTGTGCGTTGCGTAGTCATATCTGGATCAGTTCAGTGCGCTAACTCTTTTCGAACTCACTCTGAGCCCCCTCACGCTCCCCCGTCCCCAATTGATAGAGGATTGTCTGGTTGCCTGCTTGTCTGCTGTATCAGAAAGACATTACTATAGATAGAAATTATTGATAAATGCTGATGCAACATATAGTAGTATCTGATTCTCTACTTCTCTGCTGTATGAGAAAGACATACCATAGGATGATCATGAGAGACACATTGCTATAGATCGAGAATATTCAAATATGACTGTGCAACAGATTGGAGTAACTGATTGTCTGCTTCTCTGCTGTATGAGAAAGACATAAATATATGCCGTACATAGAAAATATTCAGATTTCAATCTGATAAATGTTTAAATAGGAGTGAAATCTAAATATGTAACATATTTAGATTTGACATCTACTGAAAAAAAAATCAAAGAAAAGTTTTTCATTTCGTTCCTATGTAAAAACTTGTACAGTGTATAATTCATTGGAGCACGTACTAGTGGAGTAGCTATTTATTCACCAAAGTATACTACACAGTAACATTGTCTCACAGTTTTATACATAGTTTTGTAGCTGATGAAATTCTCTATCGAATGCTATATAACATATAACTATGTATTTAACCTGAAACAAAAAATGTACTAAAAACAACATTGGCTATAAAAAAACGTTTTCCCTGTTTTCGAACATGTGCGAAACTTCGTTTTTCGTTTGAAAAATCTATTCAAAATGAAAATTCTCCTCCGCTCACTATGCACAGAATTTGACGGCGCATCTTTTGGTTACAACAGATTTTTATTTTAGTGTGCTGTACTTTGAGATTTCAGTCAAGGTTTCCAAAAAATACTTTTGGATAGTGAAAAACGTACTTTACAGAAAAACCAGTATTTCTCGGAGAATACTCGTTCTATAATCGAAATTTTTTTATGGTAGATACAACTTTTGTCACTCTATTTAACTATATCAGAATTAGGTTTAAAACTTGTATCTAAAAATTTTCCGAAATTTTATAGCGGCAAGGCATATAATTTGTGAGAGGCCTAACTCTGTCAAAACACATCCGTCCGCTGAGAAAATTTCAGGTTATATGCAGTTTCATTTGCTCTACAAACTGGTATCAAAAAGTATATATCATAAGGGAGGTAAAGTCCCCCCTTAAATCTAATATATACGGAAAGTTTGGTCAAAATCAGATGTACGGTATAGGAGATAATTTCTGAGAGGGGGTCCCCTAATATAAGATGGCTTTGCAAAATTTCAAAATAAAAATACAGTAAAGTGGAAAACGCTATCGCAATTGTGAGTTTAGTCGGTGTAACATGGTTTTACCGTGGATGGCTCTCAGGATATAGCGAGTACCAGACGCACAGTACAGAATGCTAAGCTACACTATCTCATTTACGGGGTAAACAACTATCAAAGTTACATTAAAGATAGTTCAACATTGTGACTTTAGAATTAGGGAATTTAGATAATTAAGGAAATAATCGCGATCAAAAACTGCTGTGTACTAATCTCAAAAAAATGAAGATTTTGTTAATAGATTTAGAGAACGTTTCTTCATAGGCAAGAAGATAAAAAATTATTTCTTGCGCAAGGAATGGCAAGGTTTTTGAGCATTCTTGCTCCCAAGATCTTACTATTTCTTTCAAGAACTTTCATTAGAAATTTCTCCTAATCTTTTGTCGTATTGTTTCATTTTTTGTTAAGCGTTTGTAAGCGCAGAGAGGCCTCCGATTGAGAGAAATTTGTCTCGAGTCGAAGTTCAAACTTCGACGACTTCTATATAATCTAAAAGAAAAATTTAATCTGAAAAAAGAAATCAAGTTTTTGGAATTTTGTGTTTGTGTTTCTTATATATACTGACGGGTGCAAAACAAAACCGGGAATGTATAAAAACAATTATTGTGCGGTATTTTTCTGTACCGCGGTCTAATAAATTACCATCGTTAACCGTGCGGTATCCCGAGCGATATGGTTAACCGATGGTAATTTGTTGAACCGCCGGTAACTGGGAGTATTTTAAAAGAAAGCTCGACATGGGAGACTATCGTTGCCTTATTGACTAGTAAATCTTAAAAATTTCATTACAGAAATACAACTTTGAAGCTTTTGTCTGTTCTACTGTCGGTTCTATGGTGTAGCGGTAGCACTCTGGACTTTGAATCCAGCAACCCCAGTTCAAATCTGGGTAGAACCTGATTCTTGTTTTTTTTATCTTCTGTCGTTACACATTAATTTATTATTTTAGTCATATTATCATAGTTTTAACAATGAAAGTCGTATCGTGTAGTTTGAGTATTAATTTATATTTAAACCATTCCACCACGATGCTACTCGTCATATGTGATTATCTATTTCTCTTACCTTTCTACAGTCACGGCCAAAATAGAGCGCCCATGATGACATTGATTTTGTTCTCATTTCAAAACAAAAAAAGCTACTGATTTGCGGTTTTTAGCAGTGTTTAGCTGTACCCTGTCTCGCAGCTATGGCTCGAGTTCAAGTTAAGCTTTTAGTATATTCGATATTTTAAAAATGAGTCAAGAATAAGTTTTGTCATTCACACTTCTCTAACAACGGTTCATCCGATCAATGTGGTTCCATTACACTTTATGTTCAATATATTGTGTAGATGTGCCCTTTCAGCAGACAAAAATATAGCTGCCCTGTAGTTGTTGAGATATTTTGCAAACAGTCGATTTTTAAAATTCTTTTTACCTTATGACTCATACGCACACAATAGATAATTAAATGAAGGTAGACTGAGAAGCATCAAACAGGATGCTTGTATGATTTATAACACAATGAATTACTACACTACTATGTAGATGTTGTTTTGAGTTTCTATTGTGCTAAAGGAATTTCGTATAGAATAGGTTAAATATGACATAAATGTTCTAGTATTATGCAATTAAGTTAAAGGGTTGATTCATTTAAATTTAACAGAATGTTACTACTACTGTCGACGAAACAAGAATACCCCGTGAAATAGACCGACTGGAAATTAATACAAATAATCTTAGACCAAAACAAGAATTTTGGTTCAATCTCTGTAATTTAATGAAGAATGAATCTACAGAATTTACTATTTATGAAACGCCTTGTATTGTACAGAAACGTTGTTTAAACAGCAATCCTAGCTTAGAGCAAGTAAGTATAGACCATCATTACCATCATATTTAAAAACACAAGCATCAAAGCATCGACGAAATATTGTTAATCTATATCAATCAACAAAATCACCAGATGCAAAACAGTTACTACAACAAATGAATAGATTCATCAAATATGAGATAAAAATGATTAAAACAATGCAATGGCAAAAATTTTGTTTAGAACTAGAACCAAAAAATACGCATAAATTCTGAAACTGTACAAAACGTCTGCTTAGAAAACAAACACCACCAATAAAAGAATTTATCACTGATAATCATCATATTATAATTGAAACAAATTCTATGGTAAAGTATGCACATAAACATTATTCTACTTCGTTTAAAAGACATGCTGATGACGATATTGAAATTTCAACATTTTATCAAAATTTACACCAACAATTTACATCAAAAGCATTTTTATTTAAAATATCCGACCTCGTTAAATCAATTCAAATACTAAAATCAAAAACATCATCAGGGCATGAAAAAATATTGAACAAATTAATTAAACTGCTTCCTCGTTTAGATTACAGTTCTGTATTAGAACAGATTATTAGTTAAAAACGACTTTCCTAATCATTGGAAAAAAGCTAAAACGATCTTACTTCTTAACGATAAAATAAGATTAATAGATATTTACAATACCAGACCAATTAATCTCCTACCATGCTTAGGAAAACTGTATGAAAACTGTTTCTTGATCTATCTAAGAACGTGGATGACAGATAATAACATTTTATCCAGTGAACATTCAGGACATTCACGTACCACCAGATTTACATAGTTTATCTAGGATGTTAGCACATCATCAGAACAATACATCGTAGCACTCGTCTTATACATTGATTTTTCAAAAGCATTTGATCAGTTGTGGAAACGTAGTTGGATTTATAAATTGCACAAACTAAGATGTCCAAAAGAATGGATACAATTCATTATTGAATATTTAGACAACAGAATATGCCAAATAGAAATAAACGAACTGTTGTCCCATGTATTTGATGTAGACAGAGGGGAAGTGTTTTAGGCCTGGTTTTGTTTCTACTATTCCATGCTGATATGCCACAAGAAATTCTATCATCATAATATATCCATATGTATGCAGATGATGTAACATTAGTTATTGATGCATCACTATGGTAGAAAAGTAGAGAAGTGATAACAAATATTCAAAAAATTGCACAACAAACATTAAATGAATTGCAAAAATATTCATCCAGATGGAAACAACTAATAAACTACATAAAAACAAAATAACAATTGATCCACAAACATAGAACAATTTCATCAATTGTTTTATTAACAGATCAACATGAAATTGCAAGAACAAAATATTCAAATATCTTGGTAATTGATGCTTTTTGATTTTTTAACGTTTTTTTTATAAAACATAATATATTTAAATTCTGATCAATTCTTTTAAATATATCATCTTGGTAATTATAGTGGTCAAAAATTGTCATTCCATAAACATGTTCAAAATATATTGACGAAAATAAAAATCAACACATCAATGATAAACTATGTAGCATAATCAAAAACGTTATCATATCGTGTCAGAATGTTAATCTTCAATGCCTATATACTACGATGTTTCCACTCTTACCTGAATCCACAAAAGACAACATGAAAGCTACAAACCGATTGTACGATGCCACGAATAATGAAATCAAATTCACGTACAAATTCAAAAAACAATCATTGACTGTGCAAAAATTATTTTACGCAATTTCATAAACAAAACACAGTTATTCCAGAACTATTTGAAAAATATACATAATCGAGATCAATGCAAGTGTATTTACAAATCCATAATCACTCTCCATCTATACGAATGTAGGAAAACAAAGTGCAACTGTGAGTTAGATCAATAGGACAAATATCTTGATAAACTAATATCATTTATTCAAGATTAACTTTTCCCTAGCTTTTTATGATCTACAGATTTCTTTTTTTTCCATAAAACAGATGGTAGTAGCGGTTATAAATCTAACACTACACTACTGTTAACAAATTGTTGATATTTTCTAATCTGTCTAATACAACAATAGAACAACATCAACATAAAACATAAAATTCCATAATTGCAAAAAGTAGGCTCTTTGTGTGTCAGTCTCGTTTTTGGTTATCAAATTGTGTAGATCCATGAAAGATGATCTGAAAATCTATAAAGTATTTACTTTCAGAAATTCAGTCACCTCACTTTTCAAAACGATGATCAAAAATTCTAAAGAGCAAGGTTTTTTTAACAGATTTCAAAGAGAAGACACGAAGTTTCACTAATAGATTATACAGAACTGTAGAGTTGACTCTGCTCGTCAAACTGAGACATGAATCTATTCTAGACGATCTTTCACTGGAGGATAATGAAATTTGAATGAATATGTTATATAATATATTAATGAATATGTATGTGTCCTGAAGATTTATCGAGACTGTTTACCGGGTGTAATAATCTCTCTCTACTGTGCTGATTTGTTTATTTTTAAACTGAAGTAAATAATTTGACAAAAACTGTCATAATCCTATAAATTCAATTAAAAAATTGTATGAAAAACATCAAAACTGAAAAATATACACAAAAATAATACAAAAAACCACCAGTAAAAAACTGTTCTTCAATATATCTAACAATGTCATAAGTTAACACATTTCTCGAATGAAACATGAGCAAAAATTAGGCATGCATCAGTATTTACCTGTATAGTTTATTCTTTTTTTCCAATTAAACTGAATACAAAGCACAATGTAATAAATTTTTGACGACTTTGTTTTGTAGAACAAACATTATTTTGCAAAATGAAACATGGCGAAATTCGTTATCGCTTCTTGGCAAAGAGCCACAAACCGCTACTAATCATCTGTGGGTTTTTAGTCAACGTTTTTTTTCTGACTACTGAATCAAGAAGAAAAGTATTGTCATACTTCATTTTGTAGCGAAATGTTTGTCGTACAAAACACAGCGTTTAGAAACATTCTAGAAGATTATTTTGAGTTATAAAAGGCTTCTTGTAAAAAAAACACGAAATTGTAACCGGTAGATACCAGTCTATACCTAACAAAAAATGCAATATTAAACAAAAAGAAAGTATATTATGTCACATTAGAAATAGCAAGAGAAAAAGTAGTTATTTAAGTCGTCAAGTTATGTACAAAAATAACTTAACGAGGGAGCATCCCCAAATATCACTTTGGGATTCTGATAAAGCATATCGGGTCAGTAGTAAAGTAAATTGTGCTGATCACGAATATAATGTTTTTAGCTGACACCGTTAGATGATTGCTGGATTAGAGCAATTTTTATATTTTTCTGGTCGAAAAATTCTCAGTTTTCAATCGATCACATTGTTTGACACATACACCAGAAAAGCTCGTCAAATACAGTTTTGTATAGAAATTCTTCAACTACAACATGATATATTTGCTTTCATTCTATGATCATTTTTAAATTTCCTAAAACCTAGCTATATTAAAAATTTGATGATATTTTTCTTTTCTAATCAACAAAACAATGTCACATAGCAAAAGAATGTATGTATAATAAAAATGTGGTTTTCTCATAAGTCAGATTATTATCCCACATATATCATGTTGGGGCTGAAGAACTTCTCTACAAAACTGTATGTTTGACGAGCTTTTCTGATGTATGTGTCAAATAATGTGATCGATTGAAAAATTGAGAATTTTTCGACTAGAAAAAAATCAAAATTGGCCTATAAACTGTTACTATTATTGCACGATTGTGTCTGATGGGATTCTGTCATTGTAATGTATCGTTACTATACCGTTGTTCAGACAAATTTTGGCGAAAACTGACTCCACTTAGACTGACAATATATATAGATAGCGATATCTAACTCAGCAACCATCTAACGGTGTAAAAACATTATATTCGTGATCAGCACAGTTTACTTTACTATTGGACCTATATACTTCGTCAAAATCCCAAAGTGACATGTAGGGATGCTCTCTCATAAGTAGCAATAAAAATATGAGCTAAAAAAATATGACTATAGAAACTTATCAAAGTATATTGATGTTAAAAAAATTAATATATTTGCATAAAAATAGATAAAAATAAAGTACTTATTTCCCTACTGCACGAAAGATAGGGAACAACAGGGAACAAACTTATTTAAAATAAATGAGAGAAGGAGGATATCCTAGACCAGAGCAATAGCGTAGTCAACAAAAATATCGAACTTGTTAGTTTAAAACCATCACTCGGCGGTCCGTAATATACACCTGGTCTTAATTCAGGTGACAGACTAGCTTGTCGTTTACTTTCATCCATGACAATTAATGTATATTTTCCAAAATCTTCTGGTACTACATTTTTAATAATTAGCCGACTTGAATATCGACTATCAATAGAATCTACAGCTACATTTGTATCTATTCTATATTTAACACCGGTTGTTATCGCTTTTCGAACATTTGTGTTACCTTGTGAAAATTCCCATTTGAGTATATTCATAGGATAGGCTTCAGCTATACAATTTATTTCAGCATCTGCATTTATATTTGGTACTTGTTCAATAATCATTTGTTCACATGTTACAGTAGGTTCAAAATCAACAAATATGTTTACGTAGGATTCCGCTGTTTGTTTTTGTTCCGTTTGTTGTTGAGCAATACATTTGTATAGACCACGATCTTCTTTACTGACTTGATCAATTTTATAGATAGAACTATATGATGTCGGATATTCTTGACCGTCTCGTGCCCACATAATTAATGGCATCGGATTACCACTTGCAGTACAAGTTAATGTCACTTCATCACCATCTCTTACTTGTAAATCACTTGTGATCGATATTATTGATGGTGGAACATGAACATTGATTGATTGTTCAGCTTTCACTTGAGCTTCGGTATTCGCTAATTCACAACGGACAATGCCAGTATCACTTTCTTGGACAGGACGAAAAACAATTTCATAAACTTCTTCTGATTCTTTTCTAGCACTAACACGACCACTTAACGTATCACGCACAGATCCACCATATGCCAAAATACGAAAATCACGATCAATTCCTATGATTAGAATGCAGAATAATAAAACAATAATCTAAATTTCTATCTACGCACCCCTTCGTTTTATACTCCATAGTAATTGTACACGATACAGAGAGAATGGATCAACATTAATCAAGAAACATCTCACTTTTAAACCTTCTCCAACATTTGGATTGGGTGGATCAACTTCAATTTTCTGAATTTGGACGGAACTTTGTTGACAATAAACAACAGAAATATCAAGTAGAAATAAATTAAAGATTAAAAACACAAGTAATTTATGAGATTCAAACAAAGGATGCAGAGTTATCATCTATAAGCAAAAAGTCAAATAATAATACTACTTTAAAATACTACTAAAGATAATCAAGAAAAGTCTAAAGATAGATACTACTTTACAATTTGTCAGATTACCAGTAATTGCTAGAGAAAGTCTATAAAAGTCAAATCACACTGTTTTTTAAAAGTTGTGAAAGAAATGTAGTCCTCAAGTTCAAGAATATCATCCAGAAATAAATAAATAGTTTTATCACTTGTCCTTCATTATAGATCAATATGCGTTAGAACAACAGTGATATACAGTAGCTTCTCAATCGACGAACAAAACTTAACAAAAGGATGTCACAGATACTTCACATGGTAAATGGATATTCGAAGAATTTCGTGTTGAAAAATACTTGTTATCCATTGTATTTGTAGAGAATTGCGTGATCAACATGTTGTGTCTAGTTTAGTAGTTCCACAAACAATAGATTATCAAATGTTTTTAAATTTCGAAGAGTAATGATTCCGTTATTTCATATGAAGAATATAAAATAAACTTTAGTTGTCTTTTTTTTCAATATCTGAAATTATTTCTCTCATTTAATCAATGACAATAATAATAATAATAGTGATACAATGTAACAAGACAAATAGATAGATAAAAAAGTAAACGTGTACAATAGATAAATAAATAGAAATTGACTAACAAAAAAATCACAATCAGCCCGAAAACGGAACAAACGTATAAAGAAAAATAAATTACAGTAAAAAAAACACGTGTACACACACACACAAAATCGCCTATGGATTATAATTGAATGAAGGATGATGAAAAAAATATTGCCGATAAATAGATTTGCACATATATAATTTTGAAAAAACAACAGTAGTTGATAAAATTTATGAACATTAATCAAAATCAAAATTACAGCATACGATTTCTTTTTTTTTGTTTAAATCAAGAACATAAATGTATTCAAACAGCTATTTTATTTGCTTCTGGCAGATAATGTTCCCATACTTCTAAAATTTTTTCTTGTTGTTCCAATAAACGTTTTAAATATTGATCCATAGCTTTTTTGAAATCATCGATTCTTGTCGTTTCAAATGTATCCATTTCGTCTTTAATTGTACGTGATATATGTTCAAATTCATCTTTACCACGATCTACTTTACCTTCCCATTCGTGTATGTCCATTTCAGCTTGTGGTAATTTATCTGGATTTTTATTTGTTTGTTCCAATTTTGTTTTTGTTTCACGCTTTTTACGTAATGTTTCTTCCGATTGTTGCCAATGATGATAGAGTTTAATACGTTCGTGAAATGTCATATTTACCATATCAATAAGTGATATATAGTCTTTTAATAATTCTGTAATAAGAAAAAATTCCTGATGAGCATGATCCGTTTGAACATTTTCGACTTTTTCTTCAACATTAGCCAATTCAATTAAAGCACTCGATAATAATGGATGTTCTTCAATTGTTGCTAAAAGATTTAAACATTTTGATAATTGCGATGCGGCTTGTGCTGCTTCTTTACGTTGTGTAAATAAATAATTAAAACTAGAATATAATTGTTTTAAATGATTATGTAAATTAGTGATGAAATATTGTTTTTCTTCAAACCATGAGTCTTGTTCATCCATTTTAAATGTTAATTTACCCACTTGATTTGAGATGTTTGTCAGTGCACGTAGTACACCAGCACCACTCAATGCTTGAGTATTCGTGGCTTTTGGTAATTCATTAGGCATTTCTAGAAATTCGCGAAAATCCGGATCCATTAATAATGTGTCATGTTTGGCTAAACGATTTAGATATCTTTCTAAAGCAGCACGACGTCGATCAATAAAATCTGTTGGTATTTGTTCTTCTTTTGATATTTTTACTTTAGCCATTGTTAATGTATCTTTTTCTGGTGGTGCTGGTACAATGATACCCGTATGAATATGTTTTGATAATAATTTACTATGTAAACCAAGAAAATCACTAAATCGACGATTTACTGTAAATTCAGACGTTTTAAATGCTGACATGTTTGTTTTTGTTGTTATTCGATAAACCATGTAAGATGACATCCCCTAGCAGACAAAGAAAATAACAACTGAAGTGTAAGTTTTCTAATCAATACTTATTTCTTACCTCGCCAACTTTTGTTGGATCACTAACAGATATTTCAATAGTTTGATCTTTCGGACGTACTTTACTGCTACTGCCACTACTCAACGACACCTGACTCTCTAATGTTGTCGGTATTGGTGTAGTAGGAGTTCGTGGGATAACCGATGCAGGAAGGACGGTTTCTTTTGATGGATATGTATTCGATGCAGCTGAAAATATTTCATCATTCTTTGTTTCTATTTGTGTAGGTGCTAATGGTGTAGGTGCTGATGGTGTAGGTGTTGGCGATGTGGGTGCTGATGGTGTAGGTGTTGGCGACGTGGGTGCTGATGGTGTAGGAATAACGTTAGCATTTGTATGTTGCACTGTACGTGTCTTTGATGCACCAAATAAATCATCGCCTTCTTCCTCTTCCATATCGTTGTTTACATCCCTTTTAATATCTTCAACTATATTTTGTACATTTTGTTGTTGTTGTTGTTCAACAGTTGTAGTATCATGTTGTAGAATTGTTGTGGTTGTTGGCGATTTTTTACGACTTACCTTTTCACCAAACGGATTATCTTCATCTTCAGATTCAGCGTCATTTAGTGCAACTTCGCCAAAATTTTCTGAATGATGAACAGAAGAATCTTGAATTGCCGATGTGAATAAATCTTCGCTATTTTTGTCATCTTTCAGTTCAGGTGGTTCAAATGACATCTTTGATATTTCTGGCCTGATAATAAAAAGTCTGAAAAATGTGTGCAAAGACAGCATTGTTTACGCTTTTATAAAAAGATTAAAATTTCTGTAAATTATATAGGAGCAAAATAACTGGCTTCAGTCACCATTTAGTAGAAAACTTTTACCGCGATAACCACAACAATCAATTCGAACTCTTAAGTTAAACACCTTGTACTCATTTTGAAGAATGCAAATAATCTTGTCTTTCTCTCCGTCAGCGTTATGATCAAGTTTCGTTATTTAGAGCACTAATTTTGAAAATACTTCGAGAATCCGATAAAAAGATTTGAAAATTCTGGAATCGAAATATATAAATACTCTATTTTATTTGCATTATGTATTGTATAAAAGAGTAGAAAGATGTTTTTGCTCCTTATTTGAAAATCAAATATCATAGCCCTAAAGTCTTCGCAAAAAGCTCACTATCACCAAACTTCAGTCAGGCTCACGTACTATAAACCAATACATACGAGACAAAAGCTGATTGTTGAAAAAGAGATTGAGACCATGTCGATGTTATTAGTATCTGTTTTTTTATTCTTTTATATGTGTTTTCATATGAAACAAAGACAGAGAAAGACGAAAAAAAAATGTTTTGTTTTTTATGTACCTACAATTTTTTGAACAACAAAGAATAAAACAAAAAAGGACATATTCCATACACACAAGCACATAAAAAAAATTTCATCTTTATATAGATTTTTCTTCGAATAATAAGAATAAGAATAGGAAACATACCAGAAAAAAAAACGAAACAAATATAAAGAAAAACGAGAAAATTATTACAAACTCAGGTCTTCTAGTTTCATCAAATGCGTATGTATGAGTATCTTTACTCATGTACCAAACACATACACACATAAAAGTCTGTTGGTCAGAAATATGTGCTCAAAAAGTAGAAAGAAAAATATATATTTTATAGAAAAACAGCAACAACAGAACCTTTTTACGTGTAAATAAGTTGGTTGTTCATATCCTCTCTCTCGCCCTCTCTTTCTTGCTCTATGTTTCCTTTCCACCCCTATGCATAGTTAGTTTTGAAATACAAACACATAAACAAATACAAAATAGTAAGTTGATTAAAAAAAAACAACAACAACAACAGCAACAAGAGAGAAAGAGAGACATATATGAGGAGAGGAGAAAACCGAGAAAGAGAGCGAGAGAGAGAGAGAGAGAGATAGAGAGAGAATGATTTCCATATATGAACTATAGTCGGTATAGAGAAAGAGTGTCTACTGAATATAGAAAACTATAAATAAATATCATACACACGTTCATATACGATACGAATGTAGACGTGTTTACTCTAACTCCATAAACGATTATTGGATTTGATTACTGATTACCAGCTGATACGCTATTATTCACATTTAACGGTGAAGGAGAATTTGTCGATGAAACACCGCTTGATGCACCTGCTAAAAGAGAAAACACGTGAGTAATGTACTCATAATGCTTTTTAAAATTTTAAAAATTTTATCATACCGTTTGATAATGGTACTGTGGATGTCACTCCTAGTGGACGATTTTGATCACGAACAATTGGAACTAAAATGAAAAGACAAAACGTAAAGATCATTATCGTGAAGAATCAATAAAAAAAAGATACATACAAAAATAAGCATGATCCATTGCTTCTTTAGCTGTCAGACGTTCATTATGATCATAGCGTAATAATTTATCAAGAAAATCTAGCGCTTCTTGACTAACAAGGTGTTGATTTTCTGAGTGAACAAATCTTTCCCAACGTTTACGTGAATGTCTAAAATACACAAAAGCAAATAATAATGTTTTTGGATATTTAAAGTAAACAAACAAACCTTCCAAGTATTTCATTGAAACGTGGATCAAGCTCAATTTGATATTTTTCAAGATATTCATACAATTCATCAGTACCAAGTACTTTAGCAATTCGAACGAGCTTTAAATAAAAAAGAACCGAAGTATTTTATGACTAAAAAATAAATCGTATCATTACAGCACCTGATCATAATTATCATGCCCATGAAAAAATGGTTCTTTACGAAATATCATACTAGCTAACATACATCCTAAACTCCACATGTCTAATGAATAATCGTAATATTGATAATCAACTAATAATTCTGGACCTTTGAAATAGCGTGATGCGACACGAACGTTATACTCTTGACTTGGATGATAAAATTCAGCTAAACCCCAATCAATTAAACGAAGCTAAATAAGAATAATGACAAATCGTTCTAAACATTTTATTAGAAAGACAAATCTAGCTCCTTTACTCATTATTTTTTATGAAACACACTTATTATCGTTTTCTGATTTCTCCTGGGAGTGTGAGTTACAGCCACTATACGTAATTCACAGAGCCATAATTTATAAAACTGACTACCAGAAAATAGTAAAAATACCTACATGTCTATCTACAAGATTTCTAGTTACCATGCATGTCCCGACATATTCAAAAATCTTTCAGAGATGAAGAATCTACCCATTTACACAAACCTGACGCTCGGAGAGAGCAATTTCACTTCGGGGAAGTTTTTGGTATGTTAAAACCATACTACTATCCATTTAAAAATAGAGCGTACGTAGATGTTTTTGAATAACTTTTAAACGAAAAGTGATAGCAACAAGCGGTTTTTAGCATTTCGTATAAAACACCGGGGCACATCGAACTATGAAAAAATCAAGGTCATATAAGAGATGTACTGCGGTGTACCTTTCGGATGGAAACCTACAAGATCGCTATTTCCCGAAAAAAAAGATGGATTTTGACTTCTAAAAGGGTGATTCGAACCACTAGATTCTGCTTTCAAGATATACTGTTTTGTCTGCTGAATCTGATACTGCGGTTAATATTTCAAAAAAAAACATTCCGTTACTGCCAAAGATTTCTGGAAAACCTTTTGAAAACAAAGTAATTTCTATTGATTTTTGAAAATTTTATTGTAATTTAGAGTTTAAGGCAGATAAATTAGTGTGTGTTGAAATTTTTGAAGTAGTGTGAATCGGTTTTGACTGAGTTAGCAATTTTTAGTTTGGGGTGAAAACAGTCACAAATGGATCACGGTTTTCGCACCGTAGTAGACCTCTTATCTGACCTTGATTTTTTCATAGTTCGATGTACTCCGGTATCCTATACAAAATACTAAAAATTGCAGTAAAACGTATAATGCTCTTATAGATTCTTACTTTTCGATTTTCATGATCAATCATCACATTATGCGGTTTAACATCACGATGCATTATTCCCATACTATGACAATAATCTAATCCCTGTAAAAAACAAATCACATACATGCAAACAATTTCAAAAAGTCTAAAATAAAAGAGGAAGGGTTCTGTTTTACATACTTTCAATAATTCATACATATAAAATCGAATATCATAATCTGATAATGTTGGATAAAGTTGCTATAACAAGATGACATACATGAATATAATTATATGAGCAATAAACAGACATCACATACTTTAAAATCAGTGTTATTGACATATTCAAATATCAATGCGGGTGTTCTTGACTAAAATACAAATGAAAAGCTCATTGTTGAATATCAGAGTATGCAAACGTTTATTGCTGCATCCTTCGTTTTAATAATTTCCAGTTCAACAAGAGAATTATGACTACTTACAACTGGATCTTTAACAATATCCAATAATGTGATAATATTTGGACCACCTCTTAAATTTTGTAATATTTTAATTTCACGTTTGATTTTCTTCTTTTTGACTGGCTAAAAAGACAAGATCAACTTACATCATTGTTTACTTCGACCATTTATAAACTAACTTTTAATATTTTAATAACAACTTTTTCATTATTTGTTATATTGATTCCTTCAAATACTTCACTGTATTTTCCTCGGCCAAGTTTTCTTACTATCTGATAATCATCTTGATTTCTAGGAAAACAAAATATAGTTTCGACTTTTTAGAGAACTTTTTACTTCATATTGCCACAATAAACTAACCCCCACTCAACAACGTGTAATTCATAATCCCAGTATTCTCGCGGACGATGTGTGTTGCAATCAGCATAGACCCGAGCTCGACTTGGTGCAGCCATAAGTCGAACTACGACGTCAGCCAATAAAAAATTAATCAAAAATAAATACTTGATCTGAAACAAATAAAACCGAGTAAAAAGAGAGAAAAAAACGTATTTAGTTAATATGGTAGCAGTTTAAAATCTACAGGCATGTGAACGTGCGAGGTAAACTATCCGTTAAACAGCGTCTCTTTATAAAGAGACGACATGCATAGATACAAGCCAGGAAAGCACAAATGTAACTTACGTTAAACACTTTTAAAATTTCTAAAATACTTCTGAAAGAAAAAACCTTGAAACCGACAGTTAAATGATCACGATCAATGAGAAGTGATTATTATTATTACTATCCTTCACACAGAGGTCCTAAAACAGAACTAAATCTTTCTACATTGTTTTAAAGTGAGGAATTCTAACAAAAGTTAGTTATAACGGAATGAGGTTTGTTCGCCAACAGTGTTCCACAAAAAAAAAAAAAAATTATTACACTACTTCTTTTCGAATAGGACTTACATTGTGTTGATTAAAGAGTGAGTGAGAACGGCTACGCTGAATAGTCATCCATTTAACTCTCATGCTTGCCTTCGAAAGTCTTACTCCAGACACAAAAATATTAAGATAGCCCAGTTAGAAAATATATTCAATAAATGAGTAATTTTCGTATTTAAAACGTGCATAAGAGAGCAAAGCAGCTTCCAGAAATCAACGTTCGCCACTATTGCATGACACTTGCTGCTGTTGCTGTATATATATATATATATATATATATATAACATATAAACAACCCTCTTGTAGTAGCGTTTAGATTAATCTTTAATTATTTCCTTTGCATCAACGATTACTTACGAGCACAAACAACTTACGTTTGAGAAATAGGAATACTGTACAGGGTGATGTAGAGTGTAGTGCTCTTGATGTGCATTTATGCCTTATAAAGAAGACGTAAAAATAATAGAATAAATAGCTATATAATGTAATAATATATTTACCCGAATGAGAAAGCAGTCTCTACACTATGATAATATTACGAACGTGGAAAAGCACGAGACAGCTCATTTTTCTGCTGCAATCAAAATGATACAATATATTAGCTTACTTGTTACAATAAGTGTCTAAAATCGTTCAAATTCAATGATGTTCTCTCTTGTTATGTTACATACATATCTGAAATCTTTCCATTTTAAAAAAAGAAATCCTAACTTTAGAACGTATTTTGGTTTTGGAACGTATTTTAGTTTGGTGAAGTGGATTGACCTGCACCAAATTCTTGTTGATTTCTTTCCTTTTCAGAAATATAGGGCGCTATTGACAAGTATTCATCCTTCCCACTCTTTGATTTTGGACTTTACTCTTGACTGTGGGTGAAATTAGGACGATATTCTTCTTTCTGACTCATTTCTGCTGTTAATTCTCTATGACATGTACACCTTCAAAAAAGATAGAAGTCTTCAGCTGTATTTTGTTTTCGGACTCGTTTGACGTATATTAACAGTAGTTGAATTTGCATTAGTGTGTTTGACTGCTATTAGTCATAAACTACTCTAGTGAATTCGAAAAAGAATGCAATTAATTGAATCATTATTAAATCTTTTTCATACTCCTATGTTGATTTCTATTTGTTTTAGTCTATTGATTGTTTAAAAGATCCGGAAATATTGGAAAATACCTTAAATATTTTAAAAACAAATATACGTGGATCAAATGCTTTGAGTGCTGAAGATGTACATCAGGTATTACGTCTATAGACTTGATATACGGCTGTTATTGACGTTTAATTTGATTTTCAGTTGATTAAGATTTATTTCGAAATGTTACATATTTATAAAATTATATAAAAAAATACCAATACGGCTGTACGTGTTAACGGAGAAATCTATGTTAAACAATGTTTAATTAAACTAATAGCAGTCATTAAAGAAGATTCACTCGTTTTGTTAGAAACATGGTTTGGTAAATCACATAATATTCAACAAGTTGATATTGACAGCAAACAAGTTAAAGATGGAATTGTGGCCTTTTTTCTGTATTATTCAGATCATGAATACATTCATTACACCATTGTTCAATCTTGCCCATGTTGGTTATTGTGACTGCCATCCTGGAAGCAAGAGAATCAAAAATATCAGATATGTTGGCAACATCAGTTAACAAAATCGAAGTATTATATTTTATAATACTTGGTTGATCGTGTACGAGAAATGTTTGATAATACACTTAAACACATGTTAAATGTGACAAACAAGAATTTTGAAAATTTTACTGACCATCAGAAAAACTTTTATTTTCTATTAAAAACTGTGATGAATACTTGTTTTCCAGGTATGTGTAACTATGATTCTTTAATGGTAGCTATCTACAAGAGGACTATACTGTTTAAACAATTATCAGAATAATGTTTACTTCCTTTGTTGACTGTTTTCGTTGCTAGAGTGCGTTTCTTCTCACTCGATAGTCCAGTATGAGGTTAGTTTTGTCACACTATTCTCAAAGCTTACAATAACAATGGTAGTTAAGTAACACGTTTTTCAGAAACCAGGATAGTTCAGAATAATTTTAAATCTAAAATAAAAAAGCATTCTTTATTGTTTCTCTTTTCTTACGATAGCATTATTAGCATTAAATCAAGTCAAAATTGAAATTAGTTTATGGTTCTGTTATTTGGGCATTTAAACATACAATGCGTTCAATAGCTGAAATTGGTTTCAAAATTCTTCAATCAATGTTAAGAAAATTTTAGACATGCGATCCTCAGACAGCTCAAACATTCTATCAGTGCATTATTTAGAAACAATGCAGCATATGTGTCGTTGAATACTCACACACTTCTGGTAATATTCAAAAGACCATTATATTGTCTTTATTAATTCATGTTTTTTCGTTTATTCTAGGTTTAACGGCTCACTTACAAATTTTAGCTGATGTATTTTTAATTGCTGAAACGGGCCTCATCAAAGTTCCAATGGCACCAGAAGTCACATATCCGAAGCAAAATTTATTATATGTGCAACAGTTTATGGCTAATTTATTAAAAATTGTCTTTTCACATTTATAAGATGATCAAATGAAAGTGATGATCGAAGGTTTTGCGACATTGGATCAAGATATAACTGGATTTAAAGAGTATTTACGTGATTCCTTAGTACAAATATGTGAAGCAACCGGTGAAATTTAGACATTTGAAATCCTTATGAAATTCTCGAAGAAATGCAGAATTAAAAAACAAATAGAGCTCCGGTGGAACCTTCTTCGTCAATTGTTGCTGAAAGATTTTAGATTGTCTGGCAGAATTGTAGAACGTGCAGTTTCTTCCCAATACTAAAAAAATTCAAAAATTTCCTCCGGCTTGAGCAAAAACAGGTCGTTAGTGTTTTTTTGATTAGGTCACGAGTAACCGTGTTAGAAAACTATTTTAGTCGATTTTCAAGTGTTTATAAAAAATAAGTATAGACAGCAACAGGTAGACAGACATTTGATCGTGGTTTAACAACTCATCGTTCTTTTCTTCATATTCAAACCAATCAGTTTACACTTGCACATAATCATACTAGCAGTTTTTTAATTTTTTTTTAAAAGAAAGGCAAGCGCACGAATTTTGTGACCTTTTTTCTGCTCAGCTTTCCGAAATTTTCAACGACTCAAAAAATAATTTCCTTAGTAGACTTGTTTCTTTTCGGAATGCCGCTCCAGCTTACAAACATATTCTTCAACTCTGGTGTCCGTTTTCAGACAAATTGAGTAACTTTTTATTGTTTCTTTTAAAACAGTTTATTTGCTCTTGCCTTTTTGATATATAGTCATCGGAATAACCGAGAAAATCCATTTTTTTTGTTTATATCTCTAGGTTTTGTATAACTCTCCGTTGTTTGTAATTTCATTGCACATCTCTCTCTCTCTGTATATATATATATAAATATATATATATATATAATTGCTTCTTCTATTTTTGATTTCTAATTGTATTTGGCTGATTAACAAAAGAAAGGTAACGCCGATTATTCTTTTGTTGTTTATTTGAATAGTTTTTTCTCTAATGTCGCCGCAGAAATTGATGCTCTATTGTATCAATGCAGAGTGAAAAGAATTATTGCTTATGTACATCTTTGACTTTCCCATTTAATTATATGTTTACTATTGATTATTCGACGAAAAAGAAACCACTAAATAACAATAAAAAATGCTTGCAACCGCTTTAATTTCCATAAAAAGTAGATGTTTACTAATGGATGTAAAGAAAATAGGCATCTCATGTTAAGAGACAGGTGTATATACGTACCATTCAATAGTGTTTTCAACAATTTCAGACTAAGTTACTTCTGCTAAAATTGGAATATTAGTCTAGAGTGAGAAGGGGATACCGTTTAGTATATGAATAGCAGGTACGCGATTGTGAGAGAAACACTTATGATGTAGGCAGCAAAAGCATAGATCCTCCACTGAAAAAAGACTTTGCAATAACGATTCTGAGGAACGGTATAAAAAAACGTATTAAAATACATTAAATTAGATTTTTAATGTATTTTCAAAATCCCACAGTATATGACAGAAGTTTGCATTGTGCATTTCAAGATAATAACTGCGTGCTCATTGGTGTACGATAATATGTCTCGATGAAGAATATTAGCAGAGTTGTATTGTGTTTTCTATTCAAAGGTATTGAAAACCTTACTTAGTTGTGTCATTGGAGAACATAGATACCGTGGCCAGTTCAATACAGGGGTGTCGCTACTTCTGCGGAGTACTGACTATATCACCTATCCCGACTTGGCGTTTTCATTACAACATGTCAAAAAAATAATAATATAGTTATGTGCATTTTTTTAGGGTCGATAAAAGAATGTTTGTAGTAGTTTTCAGCTGTTTTATTGTAACGACAACCAGAACATAGACGCAGTTAATCTGTTGCGTTTGCATTGTTTTTGAACTCGAAATAAAAAAAAATAAGTCAAATCAAATCACTCTTTCTTTTTTGTGATAATAATAAACGGTAAATATATCATTTATTGTTTCTATTTTTTTCATTTTTTATGCTTGACTTCAAGGATTAACAACAATGTGCTTTTCTTGGTATGACTTTCAGTCATAATCAAGATTCCGTTTTCCCCGGGTCAACGATCTAAAACTTTCGAACAGGTACGCGAGAAAAGAAAACTTAAAACCTCAGATCTGAAAAAAGAAGTTCCTGGCGGACGGTACCCGCTCTGCTCATGCCGTAAATGAATTGCTAACAATTCTCTTTTCTTATTAAGCGAAACTGTTTGTAATAGCAACAATTATTTCGTTTCAAGAGTCTGCTTGAAAGAGACAAGATCTGATAGTCATCTGATTTGAATACACGTAAATGAGTCTTGACAATAGCCTAAATGTTTGCTATTTCTTGCCAGAATGTTGCTTTATTCCTCGTTTTAAATAAAACAACACTTTTATTATGAGTCATTTTGAACTCTGTTCTTGTGCTGATAACAGATTGTGAAAATTTTCCACAGTGACAGTGCAACTATTTAGTTTTTTGCTTACAGATTATTACATATCAGACATAGAAATAGATCGGATTCGGGTCAAATAAAAAAATGTCCGGATTTTGAAAAAACTGTTGAGTTTGAAAACGCAAATTAATAACGTCTTTTTTTTCTGAAAAACTTTTGATTTTTGGATCAAGCATTCGTAACTCAATTCGATCCTTGTTACGTTATCATTATACAGATCGATGAAGAAAAACCAAAGAATTTATATTTTTTGGAGCTCTTGTCTTTAAAAGAGCCAAACTCGGTAGTCAAGGAATTCCCAAAGAAAAATATGCTCGAGTCCATCAAAGAATCTTTCTATAGTGAAAAGAAGAAGTCATTACAAAGTAGTATTGTTATCCTTGTCGAAGAAAATAGATAATAGAAATATATCCAAAATTCATCAATATTGTGTTTATCCACTCCACCACAATGGATAAAGTTAAGTTACAATTCTTTTTCAAAAAATACATCAAACAATTTCGTCTGTTGCACTTACAAAACTATTGTCTTAGATTATTCATCAAATTATATCATCGATACATAAAGATAAGTGTTGTATTAGAAGAAAATCTAATGAAAAACTTTTTGATAGTTAACATTTGGCTCTATGATACAAATTTAAATCAATTTAACAGAGTAGAAATTCACTTAACAAAATATTGCGTTAGATTTCTTTAGTCCAAAAGAACATATTTTGTCAAAACAATTTTGTTTTTCTCTTCAATTATCAATAAGATGACTTTTAAATAAGTGGTAAAATACTGTCTACGTCAACATTTTCGTATTATAATTGTGCTCAATAACTTTATACAGGCATTTTTTTTATTTAAAAGTAGAGCTTGCCATAATACTTGCTAATATTACTTCTTAGTGTGTCAAAAACGGGTAAACAAACCGCGATAACTGCAATATATTGACTTTGTTAGGAGAGAGAAAGAATAAACGAAATGTTTTATAGAATAAAAGATGTGATAATAGTTTGAATTACAAATGGAATAGATAAAGACGAAGAACACAAAGGAAAAGCTTTTTTTTCATATGAAAGCATAAAAACACACTAAAATTATTGAAGTGAACTTAATAGACAGACACTCTGAACATTGTTAATTATTTTAGATGGCGTTTACTCTCTATCAAATTTTTCTTGCCGTCTTGATGTTAATAACTGGTTCGATAAATACACTTTCAACCAAATGGGCAGACAGGTACAGAATAAGAGTATTTAGAATATATTATAGATTTATAATTGTTACTTCTTTATTGTTTAGACAAAATGCATTTTTTTGCGATAAAAAGACAAATGGGAGTTTTGAACATCCATTTTTACAGGTAAAAGTTTTATTAATCCATTTAACATTCAAATTAGATATAATATCTTTTTAGGCAACTGGCATGTTTCTTGGCGAATTTTTATGTTTATTAGTATTTAAATTAATATGGTATTCGACAGCAAGACATCGTATTGATCAATTAAAACTATATGAAACTGATGTTTCTTCAGTGGCAATTAAATATTGGCCAATTAATGTTAAACGTGAAACAAAATTAGTTGAAGGAGATCAAAAATTTAATCCACTTATTTTCTGGGTGGCATCGATATTTGACATGTTATCAACGTGTTTAGGTTATATAGCGTTGAATTATACAACAGCCAGTAGTTTTCAAATGTTAAGAGGTAAAAAAGACATTCACTTATTTATTTGTAAATTTTACTTGATTATCTTTCATTTTCTTTTAAAAAAGGTTCTGTAATGATCTTTACAGCATTGCTCAGGTAATATAAACTTAATTAATTTCTTATTTTTCATGTTTATTTAAGTAAATATGTTTTTTTTTATCGAATTTAGCGTCGCTTTTCTTGGAAAGAAGTTAACGTTATATCACTGGTTGGGAATACTAACGGTAGTTATCGGTTTATCAGTTGTAGGTATATCAGATATTCTCTTTGATAAATCCGATACAACTCATTCTAACTCAGATAAAATAGCAGGTAAAAATAATTAATTTATTTACATTAAGAAAATATTTATCGTTTTGTTTTTCTTCTTTAGGTGATATGTTGATTTTAATGGGACAAATTTTTACTGCTTTTCAAGTAGTTTATGAAGAACGATTCATTGCAAAATACAATATACCACCACTTCAAGCCGTCGGCTGGGAAGGTTTGTTTAGCTTCTAATACAATACGTGATCGTACAGTTGTCTATTTCCTGTTTCAATTTTTTGTTTTGTTTTTGATAGGTATATTTGGATTTGGAACATTGGGATTATTGTTAATTCCATTTTATTTCATCAAAATCAGTACGAGTAATACAGGACCGGCACATCGATTAGAAGATGTTGCAGAAGCATTTTGTCAGATGAAAAATAATGGAATTATCATTTTAGCAACCGTTGGTATGTTCTCAATAGTAATCATTGATTAATTTTGTTCTACTTTTCTTAATGATGACTTTTGTAGAATATTCATCATTGATAGTTTTTCTATATTAGAGCAGTGCCCTCAACAAATTGTAAACTCTTATTTTGATTTTTCAATTAGAGTCTCTTTTTTAGGAAATATATTTAGTATCGCATTTTTTAATTTTGCTGGTATAAGTGTGACAAAAGAATTATCATCCACAACAAGAATGGTTCTCGACAGGTATAAATAACTGATTAAATTGAACAATTTAATACTTTTCCCCTCCGTATAATAGTGTTTTATTAGAAAAACACATCAACGTTTTAGTTTGAAAAAGCCTTTCTCAAGCCGAAACGTCGATGTATTTTTCTAATAAAACATACGGGGAAAAAAAAGCATTAAATTGTTCAGTTATATCAAATCCGTAAGAAAATACCGCATGTCCTATAATAACTGATCAATTGTACAAAAAATATTTCAAAATTTGTTTTACTTTAGCGGTCGTACGTTAATTATCTGGCTGGTTACATTAGCATTAAGATGGCAAAATTTTTATCCATTACAAATAGTTGGTTTTGTACTGTTAATTATTGGTATGGGTATTTATAATGGTGTATGGGCTCATTTAATAAGAGAATTCATTAGTCGTCGACCTATACCAAGCGAAAGATCACCGTTATTAACTAATGATTTTGGAGTAGCAACGCCAGCTGCTGCGACAAATTATACTGCCGAACCTGTGAATACATAAATAGAACAAAAAATAAATAAAACCTGTGTATAGTACGTGTTGTATCTTACGCTATAAAGTAGCAACCTGTCATTTTTCTGTTGTACACTATCTCGACGCCATATTACTTTTTTTTTCTACGTTACATACCATTTCGTTAACGCATATATAGATTCATTCTTTCATTTATTTATCTGCTCGTTTATGCAATCTATTCTATATTTGTACGTGCATTCTATTTGATACAAGCAAGGAAGTTTTTTCTTGAATATATATCTTTTATTATAGTAGCAGTCATAATAAGACTGTTGCTGTAATAAAAAGATATATCCTCTTAAGATTATTGGCTCTTAACAGAAATAAAGTTTTTACTTTTTGATTATAAAAAAAAAACGAAAAAACATTTAGGAAAAGAGAAATTAGTCTGATTTAGAAGAGATTGTATTTCAGTGTAAGAAAGATGTGTGGAAAGTGAATAATTTGATCGAATAATTTATACGTATATATACGTTGTAGTCACAATTGATGACCTAGTGAAACTGAGATACGTATGCACGCATACACTACATTCCAAATTTGATTAAATAACTGTTAGATGTGCAACTAGACAGAGAGTTCAATATTTTAATAGATGGAGAAAAGAGATAGTGATAGTTGTGAATTGAAAAGTATAGTGAGAGGAAGCGTCAAGTAAAAAACTAAATTCTAAGACAATGTTTAATGGAACAAAGGTATCGTTTTATCCTTCACTTTGTTAGTATTCTTACGCTCTTTGAGCCTATCGAATAAGAGTTATTATTCTATGAATTTTCAACATTCAGGATTTGTCTAATTGCATCTGAGGTTATCTAGTCAAACCAGAGTTTTACGAGACGGTGAACTTCAGATAAAACTAGAATCTAGCATATGTTCAGTTTCTACTTGTTAAATGTAAGTTTTCACTAGCTTCATTTTAGAAAGAAAAAGACTAGTGTTACTACAGTTTATGGACTTCGATTTCTACAGTCCTTTTATTTTTTCTAATTCTTTTTTCTATATAATTCATTCTACTATGAGACGTATAAAAAACTTAGTTTGTTTATACATAGTTTCTTGAACTGATGATAGTCTAATCTTTTATACAAGCAAATGTTTTCAGCAAAATGAAAATATGAGTTTAAAAAGCTGAGATTTTTTTCCATTTTGAAAATTAGAAACACGCGCTAATAAGTGCTTTTCTTTTCGATACACTATGTACAGGATGATATAATCACGAATAAGTGTATTTTCTTTATTATTATATTCGTATTTGAGATGAATGAAACTGTCAAACGTATTGTAAGTTTTATTAAAAAATATTAAAAGTTTTTAAGATTTGACCTGTTTCGACGATTCAATCATCGTCTTCTAACATGAATGTGAATTATAAAAATCTGAATGTTGAACTGATGATGGGTACTGCAAACAAGTATTTCCAGAAAGATGATTCAGTGTAATGCGTGCTGAATGAGGAAAAAGGCCAATATTGGTTTATCTCTTATGAAGAACGGTAACGGAACCGTGTTTTCACTGTTCGTTCGATACTTTATTACTTTAATTTGACATTACAATTATTTTTTTAAAATGTTCTTAAGTGATATAGCACCAATGGTACTGATCTGAGTGACATTTCATTCTAGTTGTATGTGCTTATTACAAAAAAAACTTTTTAGTTAGCAAAAATTTCACAGAATTTTCAGCTCTTTCAAAAGTGATCAGTCACACATAAATGCTCTGTTTATGATAAACAACGTCGAGTATATGAGAAATGTATGTCATCTCTCGCTCTACAATCTCACTAAACGAAATAGTACATACTCAAAGTATGAAAAACGTGAAAAAGCGCTGTTAAAAACTGTCCCTTTTCTATAGTCAAATGTTAACAAATTCCAATGAAAACCGGCTCATCGAACAGAGCTCGAAGAGACATATCGACTACATAGGCTTTTATTTAGTTTTGACCTGATTTTTCTCGGAAGACAGGTGAGGTTCAGCAGCCCAGTTCATCCAGACGTCAACCATTCGTGTATCTTCAAGTACATCAAGACAAATTAAACCTTCTCATAGAACCAATGAACTGTACACTCTTTTAAGATCTTCTTACACAATTTTGTAACAGAATCGTGTTTGAGAAGTAGATGATCCCCAATAATACCAGTATCTCGGAGAATTGTCCTCAATTCTCTAAACACTGAACGACGATACTCGTCATAATAAGCACAATCCATAAAGAAGTGTTTAATTGTTTCGTTAGTAACACCACATGTAAATGCTGATGATGCTTCGAATTTTTCTCTAGTAAACAGATCATCATTGAGTCGAGGAAAATCACCTCTACGAGTATGATAGATTTCGAACAATCGATAGTGCATAGCAGGTAAACAAAACGTTCAGACATACCGTGAAACTATTCTGAATTTAAACGCTTTCTGTTTGTGTGGAACATGCAAGTTGTCTGGCAGTCGATTCCATGCTCGGCTACTCTCATGAACAAAGATCTCTTCGAATGATGTTTTGTTCAATAGCTGAAGACTAGATGAATGTCTAGCTTTGATGGAGAACGGGCTACTTCAGATGGGATAAGACACTGTCTGATAGTTTTTGCTCGGTAATTTTCGTGAACAGAACATCGAGTTTGATCACTTCTGGATATTTGTAGTATCTGGAGCTTCCGTCCTTGATACTGGGAGTCATTTAGTAGAATTAGCTTGCAAAAAAAATGTTTTTTCAAGCGATCCCTCACTATAATCAGATGTAGCGGACAATATTGATTACACACTGAAGATTTTGTATCGTTATAATGTGTTATGACGTTTTTAGCCTTGGGTAAAAACAGTTTTAATCAGTTTTTTTACTGAAATCAGAGTTTTTAGTGAAAGTTGGTCTGGACTAGGTTTTGAATTTTTTTTCAAAACAGTCTCACCATCAAATTCATCATGCTCGAATACGTATGTTTCATGAGACTTCAAGGCTAATTTAAGTCATTAAGTAACAGTTCTGGAGCTAAACAGAATTCTGATCTCACTAAAAATCAAGCGCTTGCTTTATTTCCAAAATCTATTTTCGAAAAGGATGTGGATATCTTTGGCTTACGAAAACACGTATCTTCTGTTGGTTGACCAAAACCGTTGGTTTATATCTCTTTTTGTTGAAACATTATTCGAAAAATAACCAACTGTATTCTGTTTTGAATTATTGTACGACGTTTAATGTTTTAACGGGGAGAAAAGAGTAATAGTGAGAGGCGCTAATATAAAGGTCAAGTATTTGTAATACAAAATTTGATGATGATGGTAAACAAAATCATAATCAAATTTACTTGTTTTTTATCGTTTGTATTGTAATCCAATAATCTGTTATGAGATATTACAATATTTCTCTGATTTCTGTGTAAACGAGTTTCAACAAATAATTGGTACATTGATAAAACTAGACACCAATTACACTACGCGAAAGTTGCGAATGCGGTGCGAAGGTCTCTGACAAAGAAAGTAAAAACCAGGAAAGCGAAAGAGCTGTACATACGCGTGAATCACAAAAAACCGGTTTTACTCTAGTTGTTTGTTTTGTGCGGATTACATATTATACACGAAAGAAAGTCAACAAGACTGCTAAGTAGTATCTACACGGTGCATGTACACTCACCACACCAGTTATCTGTTTCTGCTGTAAAATTTCTATGTCCCAAAACGTCAATTGACGACCATCTTTTAGGTGCTCTAGATAAGAAAATAAATGTCCCACAGAACTACAAAATAGGTTATTTTCATATTCAGAGTTCCATCTTCCGCTCCATATTCTCATTTTTCTATTTTTCTCAACACTTTTCAGATCTTTAACAAGCTGCGTGAGAAAATGACACAAAAAAGTGTATTAAAAAAACACCACGCTGATTGCTGTAATGCGGTATGCTTCAGCTATAGCAACATATTCAAGATTAGATTCAAGAGAAATAAAATTTAATATTTTACAAGAATATCCACAGGATCTTTTTTTCGTATTTATCGCATCATAATGCGTTAGGCATATCGTAATGTCTTGTAATGTGTTAGCTTTTTTATTGTGTTATAACGCGATAAATTTAGAAAAAACATGTCTTTAATGCATTAGCGTAACGCGTTATGTGCCAAAAAATTGAAATTATAGTGTTATAATGCATTTTTGTCAACGACTTTCTCATATTTTTATAATGTTACAACGCTATAAATTCGACTATCGCGCTATTACTTACAAGACGTTACTAAATTCCTATCGCATTATAAGGCATTAATCTTTATATAATTGTTAGTTGTTGTATTAATCTTTGTATCATTATAACGCATTGCAACGCGTTATGCATGCTCTAACTCATTGTAAGGCTATAGAAATTCTTCATGCGTTTTAACGACATAAATTTATCGCATTACAATGCATTAACTTTTCAGGCGCTGTAACGCTATACATGGCAGTATAAGTGTGCTGTCCCAAGTGTATGTCCTAAGTCTCAAGTCAGTAATAGTCAGTAAAGTCTCAAGTCTGATATAGTTGAAGTAACTTTTCCCGAACCAACTTTTCGAGAGGAATCGATCGGTAGTCTCAGAATTTTATGAAAATGTGTCCTTTACCAGAAAACCATGTATTTTCGTTTTGGATATTGTCTAACTCGTTGTAACTCATTAATATCTATCGTGTTACACCGAGTTCCATTTCCTTATCTCATTGCAATGAGATAGAAAAGAATAATGCATTGTAAACTATTAGGTATTAACTCGTTACAATACGATATGCATTATCTAATGAGTTACAACGCTATAACGGATTTTTTCAAATTTATGGCATTATAATTAGATAAAATATCTAAGATATTATAACGCATTAATTTCTAACGCATTATATTGAAGTAGAAAACTCAAATGCGTTATAATACATTAGAATCTAACGTATTATAAGGCGGTAGACAAATCTAATTGCGTTGTAACAAGATAAAAAGTTAAAACGCATTGTAATGCTAGAAATCTATAGAG